AGCCGTGTCTCCATCCAAGGATAGAGACATGAAGAAATTTCTACATCGAGTGGATGGAGTTATGGAACTCTCTCAATGTCTCAGTCCAGTAATGTCTCCATCCAATGAGTTCCATGAGAAATGTCTCCGTCCAATGGATGGAGTTCCATGTCTCCGTCCACTGGATGGAGACATGGAAGCATGAATAGAGGCGGGCTGAAAAAACCCGAGGGTGGGGAAGTAGAGCTTTACAAACCAATCAACTTCAGCAAGCCTTAAGAAAATAAATGCTAGAATACTCACAATGGTGGAAATGGCCTTCTTGCCATCGGTTGCTCGAACCTGGCATTTGTAGTCAATCTTTTCCCCAGATGTCTTCAACTTATTCCTTTGCACCTTGGATTTGTCCGAAGCTGCAAATGATAAAACAAAAAAGGTACAATCAGGATTTTGAGAAATATTCAACAAAACAGCATTTTCTCTAAACATTTCCTATCAAGAGGGGATTCATCAAGCAGTTAAGAACCATTTACAGTGTTTGAGTGTAATCCAAACAGACCTTTTTTCTGTAGTCCACTCAAAAATGTTAGTTAGTTCATTGAGGAAGGGATCAGGCTGTAAGCGCACCTAAGGAAAACAAAGAAAAGATTACGAAAGGCCAAACAGTATATCGCCCAGAACATGAACATTGAAATTGCAAACTATAAGTTATTATACCTCTAAACTCTTTTTTTGACAATCCAAACAGAATATACAAATTACATGTGTACACACCTGCACAAGCATATCACGTTCAATGAACTACATGTCCAAGGAGCAATTTGACCTTCTGTTGTGTAGTAGAATTTCTAAGATGCTTTTAACAATATTACTATGCCACTGTACTATCCCACGGTCCCTCTTCCAAAACATGACCAAAGGTAGGATTTAACTGCCACGGCAACTTGGTACCAACAAAACTTACAGTTTACAGATATTAGACTGGAAATATATTAATTGCTGTGAACCATTTCCAAAAATTTGAATTTCTGTTGTGTAGTAGAATTTCTATTTGTGCATTTTCCAGACTTACACTGGAAATATATTAATTGCTGTGAACCCTTTCCAAAAATTGCCCATCTGTATGGCACTTGAAGCTTTGAAAGGGTCATGTCTCGTGGTCCATGCATTTCTTTTTAATTTCTATTTGCCACTAAGTACCAAAATTTTATCTTCTTTTCTATTTTACATTCATGCTACTCCATTTCTTGATATTAGATGTAAGCACTTATTTTCTTTATGAAAAATGTGCAGCCAGTGAGGCATCAATACTCCCCGCATTGATGGGTGGAATTTCAAATGTAAGCAATTATTTTCTTTATACAATCACGTTCTTTCATTTAGACCATGCACTTGATCTCTTAATTTTCTAGATTAATGTGATTTTAGGCACTTTTTGACTATATTGTGGAAAAATAGCAAAATTTGTTGCTGGAGAAGAAAAAAATGTAATGTCATACTGTTTGGATAAGCTTAAAAGCAAGTTAAAGTTGAGTTGCTCCCATTTTTCATCTTTGACCTATAAAAATATATTTGTTAGAAACTTACTTATTACTTAAAATTAAATGGTTTAAGCTTTGCCAAACATGCCATGAGAAGTGATGCTAGAGGATTTGATTTTAAGAATGTCGTGTTCGAACGAAGATATAAATTTTTTTTTTTTTCGATTTTGATATTTACATGCATATGCACATGCACGTGAATATGTTAAGTGAGTTATGAAATCGAACTCAGTGGGTAGGATGGAAGTTTTTTTCCTGCTCATTGGGGGAAGAAGATTAGCCTGGGGTAAATGATACAACTGGAACATTAGTTGGAGGTAGATAAAATAACTANTTCGAATTAACTTATGAATATCTTTCATGTTTACAAATGAATGTCTCTAAAATTTACATATATTTATTTTCAACATTAAACAACTAATGTGCAACGCACGTTAACGACACTAGTACAAATAACAAGACTCTAGTTACTCCAAACAATGCGTCCAATGACTCGTGTTGCATGTGGTATCTCATAAGAGATTATAAACACGGTTTGGTGTAGTTAAAAATAATATTTTTTATAAATTTTTATAAAAATTGATAAAATATGTAATTAAAAGTTAATAAAAATTATGTACCCAATAAAATATAAAATTAAAATTAATTGTTGATTTTAATTTAATTTTTTATTAAAAAAATTACTACACAAAACAGGGACTAAAGTTGTCAATTAATATTTGGAGTGTGACTTGGGTTATGCTTTTGTAGTTTGTTCATAACTAAGTCAATATTTGATTTAGCTAAAAAAAAGTTAATAAAAATCGAAGTCAAAATTAACAATTAATTTTAACTACACTTTTTATCTATTTATATTAAAATTTAATATAAAAATTTTGGTTCTAGGAAAACCATATAGAGAAAAAGAAGTTTTTGTCATATTATAAATACGAGTTACAGAGTCAAAATAAATTATAAAAATTATTGTTACAATTGAGAGAGCACATCGGTTGCACAATCAATTCTTGTGAGATTTAACACTTTTCATCACTTTATTACTTATTTACAATCCGAACATTTATTTCTTCATTACAATAGAATTAATTATTACATGAGTTTAACTTTAGTGATTCCTTTTTTGGAACATTTTTTGTCGGTGGTTGCAGTAATCACTTTTTTGGCTCCATTGTTGATTTGTTGTGCAACCTTTTGAAGCATGGCTTCTTCACCCTTTATTCTTTAGTTAAAATTACTCATTTTCAAATCCTTGAATCTACATTTTTTTTTTGAAAGCAATTGTTGACTTCAACATACGTCAATGCATCACTTAATTCTTCTAAAAAGCAATGCATCTACTAAACACGATTCTTTAGAAGAATATAAGCGTGTTTGACAATATGACCAGAGGCTAACCTAGTGGATTCAAAAAAACCTTTGAAAATAAACTTGTTCCCATGCTAAGTGTCGTGCATTCTTGGTATTTGCTGGAAGAGTATGAAGATGTACTAAGTATGAAACTGTATATGGCTTTTCAGTTCAAATCAGAATTTTTAGATGGACGATGATGATACCATATAACTCCAAGGCCCGACTTGAAGGACATGGGTCCTTGACCACTCACCCTCACACGAACACAGCCTCGACCTTTTCCCAGGCCGGCTCACCATAGGTCAGGCGTTACGCCCCAAACACTCCGTCAACCCGTTAGGTCACCTTTCTTCAGTGTTGGCGATCTTGACCTCCCCGTAGGCTGGAGGCCCCATTTCATTCCATTTCTCGTGTTGTAATTGCAATAGAAGTTCTAAGACCATCACAAATCCAATTTTATCTTATCATAATAAGTATCATACAGGTATTCTAGTCATAGGCCGATTTAAGGGGATGACAGGCAATTTAAAATTTTCCTTCATAAATTTTTTTTTATGTGAAAAATCTTTAATGTGATTTTTTTTTTTTTTTGTATATTAGTTCAGTGTCAAGATTTTTTTAGTCCAGTCTTGGCTCCGCCCAAAGTTCCAGTTATCATTGCATTATACCACCCCAAACTCTATTGACATCAAGCACTTACTCATTATTCAACTATTTTATTCATTATTCAATTTACAGCATTATATTATTTTTCACAGCTTTCTAACGCAAGGCATCGGGGGGGTTAGGAGATCAACTCCCCTATCCTTTTTTGTAGTTTGTTCAGAGGTCTTGTTCGTGTTCATCCACTGTGTTTTCCTAACTCGAGATCGGGTATCTCCATATACAATTTTCGATAGCTTCAGAGGAATTATCTACTAGTTGTTATCGTAAAATGCTAAGAGCCTGTTTAACATAGCTTTTGAAAAGTCAAAATAAGCATTTGAGATTCAAAATATGCTGTTGGATTAGTTTAATTAATTTTATGAAAGTGTTTCTTCTAGTTAAAATTTTTTTTTACGAGAAAGTCGGTTTAATATAATTTTCTTTAAAGGTACTTCCAGTATAAAAAGTTCATAACTTTCTCCAATAACTCTTCTACAAACACTAAAAACAAAAGCAAAAACTATGCTAAACGGTATTAAGATTATTATCATTAGAACACGTACTCGGCCATAGGTGTTTGTTGGGGATAAGCAACGTTCATTTAGTATTTGTAATTGTCATGTTCCGCGTCTTTAAATAATATGGGAACCACTTGTCAAGAGCTATATAAAAACAAATTTGCGTGGACAATCCGGTCAAGTAATTGAATATTATTTAAGAATGATACACAACATTAATCAAAGATTGTTTTGCAAACCAGATTTTTAATGAAGTTTTATAAAAGTTGATAAAATGTGATTAAAAAATTGTGAATTTCCTGAAATATGTTATTAAAATTAATTATTTACTTTTACTGAAACTAAATTCTAGATTTTAATTCTATCTTGGAGACTGAGATGAGAAAATCCCTCTCCGATTTTTTGTGCGATGTTAAATTTTTGAAACAAGTAATAGAAGGGTGATGGTATCAAAAGGCAAAAACCTCCAGACTCCACTGCAGTTTTTGAAAACGTTCGGGACTCCGACTGCAATTTTTCCCCTTTAAAAAGTCAAGATATAATAAAGCACGCCCAGTGGGACTCGAACCCACAATCGCCTGATTAGAAGTCAGACGCCTTATCCATTAGGCCATGGGCGCTTCATTTTTAGGACAAAATACATGAAATATTTAAATAATTAAGAAGAGTACCATGAGACACTGTATCCCATTAGGGATGGGGATGGGACGGGGAATCCTTGCCCCGTTTACTACCAGTTTAATTTTTTTTGTTTTTGTTTTTGATAATTTATTTTTATTGTCCATATTCATTAGATTTAGACAAATAATTTTAGTTATTATTTTATATTAGAACTAATGAAATTTTTCATTTAAAGTATTGCATTCTAAAAAAAAAAATTAAAGGGGCAAAGCGCCCGTTATCCACCCCAAGGCGAAATTCCCCGCCCCGATACCCGATTAAGCCGGTTTTCCCCGCACCGTTCGAAACAGGGCCTGGCAGATATCGGGTTTGTCAGATTTTTTTGACATCCCTATATGCCACAGAGAAATTGTTATGAGGTCTTCTAGAATTTATTTATTTTCTTTCTGTCTAGCAATTTTCCAGTGGACATAAACTATGGTAGCACATTTCATTAATAAGACACTTTTACCATCGTATCACGATTGTTTTAAAGAAACCCGTGAAATTGAATAGCATTAAGAAAACACATTTCATTCTTGTACAATGTCTCGTCATTCTGTTACACCAAGAATTGATATCATTGCTCAAGTTAATCTTGATAATAAGAACCTTTGAAAACCAAAAGACTATCTCAATATCACATCAAATATATCATAGATTCATAGGTTCTAACATAAAATTGTGGTGCTCATAATCAATTGCATCACAGCAGTTTCAATCTACATATAGACTACTCGAAAAAATCATGGGATAGTTCTCAAATCCGACGTGTGAATTGATTCATGACTTTCTGTCGACCGACAAAAAATAAATTTTAATCTTCAAGTTCTATAATCTTAACTACGGATGCATCTCCAACTTTCTGGCAGACAACAACTCGATCATGCGGCTTCACAATTCCCAAGGTCTTCCCATGATCAAGTGCAACTTTCAGAACCGACTCGTTGGTTGCATCTATCGACTTGGCCTACAAGATAAACAAATGTCGAGTTATCATGAACTTCATGAAGAAAAAATTTGACCATAGCTAATGAGCACTATATAGAAAGGAAAACCGGGTTTCTGAAGTTGATTTTAACCTAATCCGGTGCCTGAGGTCGAAACAACATTAAAAAATAATCAAAGAAATAAAAAACCTGTCATGGTACCAAGACAAAATCTCCATTCATATGCCAAAGAAAAATGATTCCCAATCTAAAGGAAAACAAAATGGATACGACATAATGCAATAGAACTATGCAAGATATTACGGGATAAATTTCCATTAACTATTTATTAGACCGAAAACTGCAAATGTGGAGGGTCGACCATAAATTACAACAAAGAACTTACCGGATGGCGAGGATCAGCAAGCAAGGGGAGAAGACCTCGAACTATAAGTGATTGCGTTGCCTGGCCATGCAGAAAACATATTGCAAGAAGAGAAATAACAATATATATTTCATAGAACAAGGGAAACATGAAATCGGTGCAATGGGAAGTAAAATTAAGAGCATGTTTGCCCAGGATTAAATGACTGAATTCTTTTGTTGAGATTTAATATTTTGGTTTGGCCATGTATGTCTCATGACGATTAGAGCATGTTTGGCAAAGATTAAAATCCAATTAAAATTGAAAATATAGCCGTTATTGGGTCTCACTCGTTTAATAAAAGTCAACAATAACGGCTAGTTTTTCAATTTTAATCCAATTTTAATCTCTACCAAATGGGCTCTAAAGAAAACGTGTCACTTGTTGTTGAATGAGGGTACAGGGTTTACCTCAAATGCATTGAACAATATGTTTTTAGATAACACTATATTGAATGAGGGTCCATGGTTTACCTCAAATGCACCACTAGAGCACCATTTCAATTCGTCTGTTTCGAGGCGAGGGATGACAACTGATAAAACAGGCATTGTCGGCCTATACTTAGCTATCAATCTGCATTTGGGAGTATTAAAGTAATCGAAGTCGTACAAGAATCAGCAACATAATAAATATTTCAACGTATCCAATGCATGAGCACCACAAAGTATGTACCTTGCAGCCCTTCCAGAAGAAGTAAAACAAATGATCATCGATGCCTTCACCTTAATGGCTGCCCGAACCTAAAGATGAAGAAAATAATTACTTAAATCTTCTGCAAATTCATGAACAAAGAAACACTACAATCACAAGAACTATCCATCTGCTCAATTTCCTTTTTTCTTTTGTCCCCTTTTAAGGTCATAACATACCGCAGAGGAAGCAATGGATTCCAAGTGTGTCATAGGTTCCCCAACATACTTTACAGTCTTCTTGAAGTATTGGTCTTGATTGAAAACCTTCTCTGCCTGCAAGCCAGTTTCTTGCAGGTTATGTCCAAAAAGAACAGATTGCAGTGCATGGAATATAAATCAAATGTATAAAGGAAAACAAGAAAAGAATCAAATGATGTTCCTAATTCAAGAAAAAGATGATGAATAAATATCAGGTGTCAAAAACCAACCATTAAATGCACGTTTATTTAACAGTGATTTTCAGAATGAGGTTATCCAAGTAAAAGATAACTAAATATTCTTACCTCAGCACAGATTTTGCCAACTGTGGAAATAGTTTCAATGGGGTATAATCCACGTAAAGTCTCAGCCCCAAGAAGAATAGCATCACATCCTGAACAATAAGTGATGAAATGAAAATCACCCATGTTCAGCTGCTGATAGCTTCAAATTGCAATGAGTATAAATTGAATGAAGTTCAGTAATAAAGAAGATAAAGAAATAGAGAATACAGATTCAACAATTAAACCAAACATATAAATGAATAAAACGTCATAATACATAATGTATTAAAAGTGAGATATAGCTACAAGTTGGTCTTAATTGTCAACAAGTATGTCATGAACTCCTAGGTCTTACTCCCTCATAAAACAGTGACTCACCATCCAGAACAGCATTAGCAACATCAGTTGCCTCAGCACGGGTAGGCCTCAGATTGTTAGTCATAGTATCAACAACACGAGTTACGACAGCTGGCTTTCCAGCCATGTTACATTTGTAAATGGCAGACTTCTGAAAAAAGAATACCTGAAAATGCCAAATAAAGTTAGCTAGCAAAAGGTTGAATACAGACCAAAAAGTAAGATCAATAACAACAACAAACAGCTTTGATGATTACACTAGAACATGGTTTAAAAAGGCGGTAGTGAGGCGCGCCTTGACCGTGAGACGCATGTATTTCGCCTCGAGGCGGTATATTTGAGGCTAAAAATATGAGGCAGACGCCTCTAAATCTGAGGCGCACGCCTCAAGGCACGAGCCTCATGGAGCATGAGGCACACGCCTCCCTTAAAATTTGATTTTTCAACTTTATTAATACAAATCAGAAAGTGCCCTTTTTAAAAAAGAAAATGACCCATTTAAAAAGGCATTTTGGGCCCAAACAAAACAACAAAATACCTAGAAAATTAAACATCTTATTTCTTTTGTAATGCTTTTTTTTTATTTTTTGCTAAATATCTTCTTTCTTTAGGTGGATAATATCTCTATATGCTAATGATTATATATCTTATTTACTATATACTCCAACTTTTATTTTTTGTATTATTTTATAATTATTTTACTTAGATTTTTTGTTTTTTTGTGAGGTTTACGNCTTAGATTTTTTGTTTTTTGTGATGTTTACGCCTCAATCTGCCTCGAGACTTACGCCTCGTCTCATAAAGAAAAATCACTTTAGTACTTAGTTTCGCCTTTTTAAACTTTGCACTAGAATAATGACAAGGTTTTGGTACTGAATTTTTCACTCTATAGCATGTTGGTTCTACTAAAAATGGCTGTAATTCACCCACTCAACTTCCAGTACAGATCCAATGCACCCCTTCTTTTTGATAATATCAGTCAATGGTCTCGCATGAAAATACACAAGGGATAAAGGGAAACAGATTGATTAATTTGAAATTTTACAAGAATTAAGGCATGAAACATACAATAACATGACAACAAATAAGACATAACTCGCAATCTTCAACCCCAAAGTAATCAACCAATGGCTCATTCTTCCTCACCCCTCCAACTGGTCAACAAAACTGATATATATATATATATATATAGAGAGAGAGAGAGAGAGAGAGAGAGAGAGAGAGAGAGCTATTGAGTTATTAAGCATGCAACTGTTGATGTCTGTATATGCTTGTATGTGTCTGCAATAAATAAGAAAGAGCAATCTCACTTTCTTCTTCAATTCCTAAACTAGTTTCCTACTGTTTGCGACATTTGAATCAATGAACTATTGAGAACATTATAATTATCAGAAAATTTGAAAGTGGACAATTGGGATAGTGCCCATGTGGTGAATTTGATGGTGGGGATGGTAGGTCGGGAGTAAGTCAGGGAGTGTTCACGTGATTTTTAATTTCGGATTGTGTAGATTGTTCTTTGGTGGTGGCAGGTGGTGGCTAGCGTTCGTACTCAATGTTGCTAGTGGTCGTGAATGGTAGTCAACTGAGAAAATGTTTTGTTGGTGAAGGGAGAAATTAGTTGTATAGAAATTGCATGATATTTGTGGATGCAAGATGGTGTGTGCCCAGTGATTAATGGTGACTGGTGATGGCTATATGCACTAGCTGCAGTGGGTGATGGTGCTAGTTTTGAAATAATCACTATCTATTTGATTGCTTCAGAAAATTGAATATAAATACTAAAGATGTGTATGAAGAATCTAGGCAAAGCCGCAAAAGGCTATCATTCTGAATAATGAACATATTTGCAAACTTAAACCTGAGATGAATATGGCAAACCTTTGAAAAAATTTCAGGTGAAACATTCACGTCAAGGCTACAATAATCAATCAAGTCAAATGTATATTTTATATGGAAAAACACATATGATTTTCTTTATGGAGGGAACCCTAACCCACACTAAACCTTCGAAAATATAATATGATTGCAAGTAGTTTTTCTACAAGCTATCTCACTCCATTAGGAGCCATTTCACCTAAGCATTCGAAAGTTCAATTAGGAGCCATTTCACTACTGGCAAGAAAGAATAGTAAAATTCTGATATTCACCAAGAGTCATCTCATGGGTGTAAATAATAAAAACTTCAAAGCACATAGAGAACTGAAGACTCGGAAGGGAAAGAAAAACAACCCGCCTCCTGGTGTCATGCGTGCAAAAATAATCAAGATGTCATGCTTTCATCATTTTGGAAGTCAAAATATTAAAGTTGAAAGTTGACACAGTATAACACAAGGTACAGAAAGATTCTCCATTTCCGAGAAATCAAAAAGTATTTGGAGCCATCATTTACATATTCATCTGTAAAGAAGCAACACTGGGTGCGGAACCTACTTAGCATAATAATATTCACCATTCAATCAAAAATAGTACATCATTGGGTGTTCCCAGAAGGATGAGCATCTTTAAATGCTATCTTTAACACAGAGGAATAGGACAACAAATTCGATTCTATAGAACAAAAGAAAAAGAAACACGATTGGCATAAGAAGAAGAATAAAAATGAAACATCAGCATTTAAACACTTCACATTTTTCCCTAAAAGCAATCATAATAACCAACCTTCTCAGGCGGCAGGTCTATACCAAGGTTTCCACGAGAAAGAATGATACCATCTGCCTCCTGTAGGATCTCATCGAAATGGGTTAAACCCTACAAAGATAGCAATGAGAAAGAAGTAAGCCATTGAACTTCTGCATAGTTACAGGTTAGCATCATATGCCATCTTATCAGAAAAGCAATGAAAATATCTCTTTTTATAAAAGAAAGAGGTAACATGCGAAATTCACCTCTATGTTTTCAATTTTAGCAAAAATTTGAGTTTGACTTAGATCACAAAGCTTAGATAGATACTCGCGAGCCTGCATTCAGTGCAATAACCAAAAATTAAATAATCCAAGATGTTTGCGAAACATACCAATGTACAGAGCAATATAGAGGAATCAAGAAGCATTCTTTTCTTTTCTTTACCTCACGAACATCTTCTGCATGTCGCGTATATGACAAAGAAAGAAAATCAATTTTATTCTGAACACCCCATGTGCTAATAACCTGAAGTAAATTTAAAATTACACCAAAAGTTAAAGATTGCATCAATTAAAGGCAAACATAAAGGCTGATTTTGAAACTCAATGCCCAGTTTTTAGAGAGATTAAAACCAAGACATTGCCAATCCACCAATTATAGTACATCTTCCAAATCAATGCACAACTGAACAGAGCATATTGACATCTAGAAAAGCGCAGATGTTGCTACAACTCACTGACCTGCTTGTCCTTATCAGATAGAGTAGGCATTTCAATACGTATCTGAGAAGCATGCATGGTAAATAATGATCCGGACAAGGTCGCAGCATTCTTTACCACACAAACCACATCATCACCTTCTACTTCATCTACCTGCCAAGCCAAATCACAAACTTAAAGCAATGTACCACAGTAAACAAGTTATCCCACTTGGATTATACAACCTCATGCACAACGCTATAGTTCAGTATACACGCTTAGGTTTTTTTTCCCTATTTAATCAAGTAAACAATCCGACATGGAAAGTAACAGAAAAGGAAGAAAATGAAAGAACGCTCATTTGGAACAAAGATATCAACACGAAAAGAAATTAAATGAAGTGAAAAAAAAATAAACAAAAGAAATCAACAAATAAGTCAATCTTGTTGAGTTCAAACTAGCAATTCAGGCTCCGTTTCATACCTCCAGCCAAACAGAAGTGGTCTCGCTTCCAGTAAAGAGGTATTGACCCAAAAAAATGGTGTCTCCCTTCTTCACAGCCTGCAAAACAGATAGGCTTAGTTCAGTGGTTAAATTAATTGCTTTAATAAACATAGAGTGAAGTCATGCAACTATAGAGCTAAACATCTGCTGAGAAAATTTCCATTGAATTGTTACATAACCTGAAAAATAAAAACATTTGAAAATGAAGACTTTCAAAGTTCTGGTCAAAATAAGGCCTTGAGCTTTAGTAGGAAAATTTCGAACAAAAGGCACTGAAAGGTATCTCAATACAGACAAAAAATTGTCAACAAGTGCACGCTATAGTACACTATATATTCAGATAAAATAAGTGGTATTGGAGAGAGTTTATGCAATTATTTAATAGAACTAATCTCTGTAAGGATGAAACATTTATAGTGCAGTAGATAGAAGGCATGTTCTTTGACTTTATCTGTGTTATTTACGAACTCTCAAAAAGCAATAGCACTAATGTACTCAAGCCTTTGCAATTTACGAAATAAAGAAAACTGGAAAAAGAAAAATTAAATAAGATAATTTTATTAAGGTTAGGAGCATTATAAACCTTGGAGAGTCCAGCAAAGTTGATTGGCAAAACTTCAGAGGATGCTTCCTGGCCTTGGTCTGGCGTCAGAATAACCTTGTCATCTGCCTCAAGTGTTATGTCATTCTCGGTCTTATTAACAACCAGTAACTCGGGACCCACAGAATCTAGCATAACCTGAAATAAATTGATAACCAACACACATTCAGTTTAGTTAAAAAATGAAATAAAATAAAATAATTGCCATCCTGTTCTTGTCCGTTTATTGGGGGGGGGAATCTTTAGTGCAATTTTATATTTATCTGCATCATTGCTACAAACTTTAACATATAAGAACCATCAAATGATTCTTCTCTGGGACATCTTAGAAGCGGCATGATTTATACATGACTTTATACTTTGTTCTCTCAACTTCCCCAGAAACCAACAGTCAAATATATATATATATATATAAAGCCCAACTTTTTATTCCTTGTTCCCCTGACTCTACATTGATTGAATCCTGTGGCTAGTATCTTTATTCAAAAAATCAACAATCAAATTTACCGTGAAATTTTGAACAAAAGAAAAGAAAACGAAATACATACAGAACAGAGCTTCTTGGTGCTCTTAATAGCAGCCTTCAAATTCTCCAGGGTTTCCTGATGATACTCCGCATCATGCCATGAAAAATCAAATCTAGCCACTGCCCACAAAAAAATTAAGCATTATACCAAGACAAAAACAAATAAAATTGAAGAAAGGATTCGATTAAACTACCAGACATTCCAGCTTTAAGACAACCGGAGATAACCTCGACCGATCGAGAACACGGGCCCAGTGTCCCTACGATTTTTGTCATTGCTGGAAAGAAACTCTGTACACGCACATTAGATTACTTCTCAAAATCCAAATCATTAATGCATGAGTGGATCTGTTTGTAATCTTGAAAAATTGTCCAAAAAAAATACTTACAGCTCTGGATGGCTCGAGAATGGAAGCCATCCTGATTGGCTCTTCGAGTAGCAAGTGATTCGAATGCATTTTCCTGGATTTTATTTTTCCGTAAAACTCCGAGAAGATTGGTGTTATGCAGAAGTTAAACTGTTAAAGGTTTCTTCTTTGTTTTGTCTTGGACTTTGAACAGCGAAAAACAAAAGGAGGTTTGAGTGATGTGTCGCACTCGTATGGTAAACGGCCTCTTTTTCTTCTTTTTCTTTTTAAAGATTTGGTGGGAATATATGGTGGGCTCGATTTTGTTCTTGTTTTGTAAGCCTTGACATGGTTCGGATTCGATTGATTTCGGACCTAACCCGAAATCGACTTGATCGACTTGAATAAATTTCAATCCAATTTGACCTAATCCGATCCAATTCGATCCAGCTTTTGAAATCGAACCGAAATCGAACCGAACCAAGGCAACCCATTTGAATTGGGTTGGTTTGATTAGTCTATTTGGACATTGATCCGAACTTTTAAAAAAAAATTCCTTACGCATTTTGGATTTAAAAAGTTACACACACTAGACAAGGTTTAGATGATTTAGGTGAAATAGACATTAGTCCCAACTTAGAAAAATTAGAAAGTAGAATTAAAACATTAGAAAAATGAAAATTAAATAGATACTAAACAAGATTTAGATAATTTAATAAATAAGCTAGAAAAATTGGATTTAGGAAAAGTCAAAAAATCTAGTAAGTTTAAAAAGACTGAGTGGATTTATACATAATGGATAAAGGAAAGTAAATTGTAGCTAGTAGTAGACTAGTAGGTAACCGTTTACTAAGAACATTAAGTAGAGAAATGGAATCCGAAACAAATTAGAATCCTTAATGGATATAGAAGAGCGGATAGAAACTTTTAGATAAAATAAATTAAAATTAGTAAAAGTTTTAAACATATATAAAATGGGAAATATATTTAGCAAATTCTTAATATGTAATGAAGAAGAAAATGATGAGGAATGTAGATACTTTGAAATCTAATACCATAAAAGTGAAGACGAGGTTAATGCATTAGACGAAGATAGTGAGGAAGATGAAAATGAAGACGATGAAAAAGAATTCGAATATATAGATATTGATATTATAGAAATCTTAGAAAATCTAGAGAAATAGAAATTAGAATGTTTTTAGAAAAAGTCAAAAAAATATATAGAAATTAAGATGGAAGAAAGTGGTGAAGGTAATAAAAAAAAAAAAATCTAAATTAGAAACTGACCAACAATTTGAAAAAAAAGAAAAGAAAAGAACCCATGAATACATAATACGATAGGAGGAAATTATCATTTCTCCACAAATGTATATGAATGGAAAGACAAAAGTATAAAAATTTAGGAAAAAAACAATCAGAAGAAGGATGTAATTTACCAACAAGTGATAGAAAATTAAATTTTAAAATTAAATAATTGTAAACCCCAAGACATAACCAAATGGAAAAATTCTGTAATTAGAGCATATAATAGTGTACATATACAGATGACAATAGAAGAAATGTTGGCTTATTTAGAAATTTATTTACAAAAGACAACGTTAGACATATAAGTTACTTTTAAAAGACTAAAATCAAAAGAAATTAGATTAAGAATAGTCAGAAGAGACAATTCTAGAAATTTTACAAGCTTTATTAAAGAAATAATTATAGAATCTTGACCCTAGAAGTGATAATGCTCATAAACAAAATAGAGCCTTAAAAGAGTTAGAAAAATTAAGTATTAGCAATATGAAATACATACAACCATTTTATTAGACGTCAAAAGGTTAGTAAGTGCACGAGGATTAGTATTAGGCCCTGTTTGATAGGCGGTTTTTTCCTTGAAAGATAGAAAATAAGTTCCATTTACCACTTTTTGACATTTTTGATAGGTTAAATTTTCTAGTCAAAATATTTTCTCATTTAACCCTCACGTGACCTATTTTCCACCAAATTGAGCAAAACATTTTCTCTCGTTTCAACTGGGAATCGATTTTCCCTGGAAGAAGAAAATCCACATGTGGATTTTCTCTCCCGCAAGCGACGCCCGTTTTCTGGGGGCGTTTGGGTCTTCCACCACCGTCAGACGACGGCGATGGAGAAGAAGACCCTCCTATGGGTCAAGAAGTGGGAAAGGGTGAAACCCAGAATTTTCAGCGTCTTCTTAGCTAGGAATCTATGTCTTCGACGTCTTCTTAGCTAGGAATTTTCGGTGAAAGCCAGAATTTCCGATATCTGGTTTCTTAGCTGGGAATCGACGTCTTCTTCAGCTGGGACTCGATTCTTCAGATGAAGCGTCGTCTTCTTCAGTGCCAAATTTCGGAGCCATTTCTAGTTCACGAATTCCCACCTGTTGGGACGGTGGGGGAGTTAGTTGGAGGTGGGATTGATGTGAGAGGAATTGGTAGAGAAACTGGAGCTGAAGGTCTGTTCTTCTGCTTTGTATTCAATTGAAGTGATTTGGATGTATCAATTGTCTGTTGACTTGAATTGAGTTTAATTATATTGTGAATTGATTTGTTTCAAACATAATTTTCCATAGAAAACAAAGTTGATCAAATACCAAAAGTTGGAAAATCTCATCATTTTTTAGGTGGAAAATTATACCAATCAAACGCAACTAATTGATAATTCTTGGGAAAAAATTTTCTAGGCAATATTTTCCCTGAAATTCATTTTCTTTCCACTCATTTTTCCACCATTGTAATCAAACGCACCCTTAAATGTGCCTATACTTGAAAGGTTATATAAAAAGTTATCACCGCCATGGAATGAAAAGATTAAAAAGGGTTAGATTCAGCATCAATAAGAAAAGTAACTATTAGTGCTAGTATAAAATTTATAACCGATAAACTAAACACAATATTGTATAGAAGAAGTAGCTAGAAAACAAATAAAGAAATTAAATTATTCTTTTTATTCAGATTTGTATACACCATAAACCTATAATTATAGATTACAAGAAAAAAATTGTATAAAAAACATAAAAAGCATAAAAGATAATATCATGATAGAAAATTGTATAATATTAGACCAAGTAGGACGTATTATAAAAATAAAAGACCAAATTATAATAGATGTGTTAAAAGGCCAATAAATCAAAAGGATTGTAAATGTTATTTTTGCGAAGATCCTGGACATTTCGCTAATAAATATCCCAATAAAGATAAAAGTATAAAAAATATAATTAAATCTATGATAATTAAAGAAATACAACGTAATATTATAGAATTATCTAATAATGAATGTTGTAGTTCAGTATATATAGTATTTACATAGATGGATAATTAGACAATTTAGAAGTAATAAGCAATTCTGAAGATAGTTATATCAGTTTAAAAGAACTAGATTTTTCAATTCTTGACATAAAAATGATGAATGTAGAATAGAAATGTATCCATGAATGGATTAGGGGACGATGATCAATGATGGATAAGCGTGGGATTTGTAAAATATACCCAGGACATAAAAATAGAAATCAATGTAAAAATTGTTTAGAAATCCATTGTAATAATTGTTTAGAAATTAAAGAATAAATTCTTAATAAAAATAAAATTATAATGGGATCATATGAAGATTAGAAGACAGGATAATAAATATAAATAATGGAATAGATAAAATATATGAAACATTATGAGAAATACAATATAGAATTAGAAATTTAGAAGTAAAAATAAAACAACATATAGATAATTACACAGAAAATAATTATTTAGAAACAGGAAATCAAGAAAAAATAATTGTCAAATATCTGGAATAAAGCCAACCAAAAGTCTTAGAATACCCATAGAAGTACAAATAAATAAAATGATAAAACTAAATTTAGTAGCTTTTATAGATACATGGTGTACAATTAACATAATTAGAAAATATTTAGTTTCAAAAGATTGTAGACAAAAATTAGAATATGAAAAAAGAGGTAATCAAATAGATGATAGTTAAATGGGATTCGAAGAAAGAATTTTTGATAATTGTAAGATTAAATTTCAAGAGAGATAGTATAGTTTAACAACTACACTAGTTAGCGCATTAATCAAAGATGAATTTGCTATATGTACACAATTATAGAAATGGAAGTTTAACAATTACTTTTGATGTTATAGTCTTTGAAAAGGCACTTCTATAATAATACAATAAATTCATGAGAATTGTGAACGAAGCGTGATGGACCTTACATTTAAATTCAAAAAAAACCAAGGAAGTTTAAATAATTTCAATGAAAATCTAGATAATCTAGAAAGTTTAGAATGTTTAAAGCATCTATACTTAGAAATCTTAAAGACTGATTTTATATCAATAACTAAATAATTAATATTTTTCAATAAAACATTATTTAAGGTAAATAGTATATAGAATTTCAAAATTAGTTGAAAAGATTCAAATAATAGGCTAAGACCCTATAAAATATTAGGATAAAAATAAGATAGAGGCTAAACTAGAAATCATAAACGAAAAATATAAAAATTAGAACAGTTGAAATTAAACATACAAATCAAGACATTGGAGATTTTAACATACAAAATAAAGAATTATTAGATTTAAAAGTAATAAAAGCCTTTAGCAATCAACAAAAATTAGCAATTTTTATGGTCAGAAATCATAGCAAAATTAAAAGAGGAAATGTAAGAATGGCTATAAACTATAAAAGACTAAATGATAACATTATCGAAAATGGATATAAAATACCAAACAAATACATATTAATAAATAAAAAACAAAATAGCAAAACATTTTCAAAATTTGATTGTAAATCTGAATTTTGACAAATATAAATGGCAAAAGAGTATATTCCTTGGTCAGCTTTTACTACACAACTAGGATGTTTTGAATGGTAAGTCATGGCTTTCGGATTAAAAAATGCACCCTCTATTTTTCAAAGAAAGATGTATTATATACTTAATATTTTTCCATTTGTTTGTGTGTACATAGATGATATTTCAGTATATAGTAAAAATCAGAAAGAACATATGAAATAGTTAGAGATAATTCTGAATATATTTATAGAAAATAATTTAATTATAAGTAAAAAGAAAATGGGAGCAAATAAACAAAAAATCAAATTTTTAGGAGAA